GACTCGCCAAAGTAAAAAAATAATTCAGGTTAGGTATATATTTTTTTTACTGAAAATAGCAGTTAATTTACATTATCGGATTGTTAATGTGAAAATATAAACATTAGACTGTTGACTATTCCATGTTATACGTGTTTTAAGGTCACTTTTGAAGAAGAAACTACATGTAATTTTAAAAACCGTATTTCTGTTTTTATAATGAAGGAATAGTAATTATAAGATTGTTTAAGCTTATTAACTAAAAATTATTGCCTACTCAATAAAAAAATATTATTGTCCTCGATAATCTATTACTGATTAATAAAATATTTACTCTCTTTCCTTATAAGATTGTATGTACACAAATTGGAGCCGTTCCTAAAAAATCGGGCGAATATGGTTGCAGTGTAAATTATTAGACTTGAAGCGTTGGCCGCTAGAGCAGCACCTGCCGGGGTCCCGTTTCGTGACTCACGCTGGGCGATATTTTTTGTACAAAATCCCGTCCTTAAAAAACGAAAAGAAGGTGTTTTATTATGAAAATAATGCATCTTGTAATTGTTAGACATCTTTCAGGTATTTCTGCCTTTTTTTAATTACATAAAGATTTACAGATTTAGTTGTAATATATTTTGACATATCGGATATTGATATGGTCGAAATTGCGTATACGTAGGTATTTCAACTAAATCTCACTAATTCTCTCTACGACGTCCATTACGTCTAGTTTTATGTAAATTTTTTGAAACAGCCTGTTTCATTGAAAACTTTATTAATATACTCTACCCCTGCTTGTTTTATGGCTTGGTGACCACTCCACGCGGACTAATTTCTCTAAAATCTATGAACGTACCTCACATCGTGGATTTCAAATGAACGAAAACGGATTATTATTTCATATTCAGCTTAGTTTGCCGCAGCAGCAAAGTTAGCCATTTAACAAGCACTCTGTCGCCAAATTAATTAATTTTCCAACGGATTTGCCGACAGAAAAGTTTCGGACTTGTTCAATTCGGCATTAGAGGAAACACTTTCTATAATAAATGAATTAAAGGTAGATTGCTCGGCAGGTTCTCTCCTGGAATAAAGCTCGGGGGACGAGTCGACTAGTAATCATCGCCCTTCAACTTGAAGCTCCGAAAAATTTAAATAACAATGCAGGAAATCTCGCGAAGGAACTTTAGATAGAGGATGCATTGTGCCGGTCATGTTTTTTTTATTTGCCGGAATAATTCAGTGCTCGGTTCAGTAGTTACGGTCGTATCTGCTGCCTGCTGGCAGCTTTGGATATAAGGCGAAGAAGAACGTCACAGGAGAGATTTGTTTGTATCGCATTTCCGCGGGTGCATAGGAGAGTGAACGATCTAGGTATCAGGCATCTGCACAAAATGTGAAGCTCTAGATCTACACAGCCTTCATTAAACAATTCCAAGCCACGTAACTGTCGGGCATAGGCAACCAACATTGCACGATTGGCACAATGAACTAAAAATCCCTTAACCTTAATGAAGTGGTTGAAGGGATGTAATGTAATTAAATAATAGTGTTAATGCTGCTTAATACGTACAATTACTTCCGAGAAATACCTTTATTTCGTTAAAACTGTATTCTCATGTCAACAAATTGCAAATTTTTACTAAAAAATCAAAAAGAACATGATGCGAATCCATAATACAGGGTGATTCAGTCATAATGTCATTAATTTTAACCACGTATTCGGAAGGCTTAATAAAGACAGAAAACCGGAAAAAAAATTTTTACTCGACTTTTAAAAATGAAGGAAATCAACCCATAACTCCCGCTAAGAGGGCGGCCCTGCCAAATGCCCGGATGCTCGGAAAATTTTGTAACGTAATGTCACGAATCAATCGTCGGCTGAAGCGAACAGCGTTGCCAAGTTCAACGTATGCAAGTAAATAAAGGAGCATGCTGTATTTTATTATAAATAATTTTAACAGTTGTATTAACTTATAGAAAATAAATAAAGCAGAGGTTTGTAGGCACACCGTATTTTATCAAATAAAAAAAGTCGGCACACTACTAAATACCCGAATATACAAAATACACTACACACGGTTACAAAACCATTAACAATTTAAAGCGTTTATTCAAATCTACCACCATCCATATCTCCCGCATTTTTCCAACTGCATCTATCATACCATACCGCGCAGCGAACGTGCAGGACATCGACAAAATGACTTAAGTGTGATAGAGGCTGTTTTATATTTAGTCGAGGAGCAGCCTACTATTTCCACGAGAACAATTTCAAGGCGACTGGAGATATCACAAACCAAAGTTTGGCGGATATTGAGCGTGAATTCACTCAACCCGTACCATTTTCAAAAAGTTCAAGCTTTAGAACCAGCTGATTTCCCCAATCGTCTTGAATTTTGCAATTGGTTCCTAAATCGAAGTGCAGAAAAAGCGAACTTAACTTAAAAATGCATAAATAAAAAAATAATTTATAGCATTTTAAATTATTATTGGCTGACGTGAGCAAACCGTGTATTTATTGTCTTTATATGAGCGAAAATATATAAATATGGCAACGTTGCATCTAGGGCACCTTGTTCATATCGTAGCCGTGCACAATATTGTGAATAACAGGTTGACGTCAGCCGGTCAGTAACAGCCTGAAAAGGGGGTTAAATAATGATTTTTCAGCTTAAATATGCATTTAAATTCGAGTTTTCCACATTTCCTGAACTTCACATTCGATCATCTTTTTGGCCACCTTGTATACAAAATGGAAAATTTTCATATCAAATCAATAAATTAGATCTTCCTCTACAAAATGTTCAATTCACACAAAAAAATAAACCTGCGTTTCCGGCAAAACTAAATTTTGCTGAAGGTCTGCATCTGTCAATTTTTGCCTAGAAATCAAAATATCTCGTAAACAGTCAATCCTAAATATGGAGTGTGCATGTTTTCAGCTTAAAAATAAATGCTCTTTCCAAAAATGAAATAATATACAAGGGGTTCCATTTAAAATTAGAAAATATCACCACAATTTAAAAAAAATCCTTCTAGTGGTTTCCCATATATCCATCGATGGAGTTCGAGGTGAGACACCTGTATATCCTGCAACACATCACATTTTTGACGATTTTTTTTTTCTTTGATACATTATTAACTCTTAATAAATGACCATTCATTACTACAATACACACCTTTATTATCCCAAAGAGCTGCTGTTGCTTCTGTTATTACTACCACTAATTAATGGAAGCGTAGGAGTGTACACAACAGAAATTTCGTTCAACAGCTCCCCCAACTTTGTCTTCATTAAGTGAAAGCTTTGACTCAAATGTAATTATATCTTTTAAGACTTTCTAAAGAAAACAAAGCGCTCACACTGCTTTTGTAACTTCTGACGTAAATAGTGTTATGAAGTGATTTTAAACTCATTACTTTAGAGCCAAACTCCACTAAATGTAACGGGATATAATGACAGTTTAAATTAAAAAATTACATCAGAAATGTTCAAATTAAAATTCTAATCTCTTGAACACAGTTATATTCCAAACATTCATAGAACTGCTGCACCCGAGAATCTTCTTGTAAATCTGATACTAAATGCATTGTTATTCCTTAAATTGTACCGAGATGGAGACAGTGTAGCTACAAATTAATATTCAAGAAAGGATTCAGACTATTGTCCTTAAAGGACAATGCGGGAAGGGTCGACCGACAGTAAATCGCAAGGATATCTCCACAAGTCCACAATATTACATTTATGGCACTGATAACGTGATTTCTGTTGAATAATGTTCTTTTTATACCCGATTAGTCTCCTTCAGAAATAGTTTACATCTCCTCACATTACAATGTTACAATTTTCTTTTTCAGAAGCGGTTTGATACGCGTAGGCGACAGACTGCTCAAGGTGGACCAACACTCCCTAATAAACAAGACCCTCCTCGAGGCCCAACAAATTCTAAAGGAAAACACCCAGTCCAACACCCACAGTATCATTCTCACAACGCTGACCGTTGAATACGACGTCAGCATCATGGAATCGGTGAAGTACGCCACTGGGCCTCTGCTCTTGGAGATAGACAGGCAGATGGAAGAAGATTTCGGACTGGTGCTCACCAATTGCTGCGAGCTGGAGCCTGACGATATTCTCACCGCTGGGTACGTCCAAATTGAAATAAACAACAAAATGTATTAACAAACCATAAATAGCAATTAGCGGTGTCGCTGAATGGAGATAAACAAATAATTTGTTCTAGAAAATAAATTTATCTAGTTATTTGTTACAAATAACCCAAGTCCAGTGTCGATTGTAACAAAAATTGCACTAAAGTTCGATTGTAACACATCAAAGTAACGAATTATAACAGATTTTAAAAAAGTATCTACATAATAATATGCAATAAAACAAAATAATTACAAAACTAAAGTAGCGAACATCAATGATGATTGTAACAAAAATTACACTAATTGTCTTACTGGTTTTGAGGTACTTTATTGCAAATTTTATCAGGCGTATATACTTATTAAGTTTTGAATTAGCTAAACTAAAAACATTACAATAAATTTATCTAGTGTTGTCATTTGATATAAATGACCTAAGTTATTATTGGTTATAAAGCATCAAAGTACAGTTATATCAGCGAAGGTCCATCTCAATTGTAACAAAAATGACACTAATCGTCTTGAAGTTTTTGAAACATTTTCTTGCTAATTTTTTTGCAAATCCAGTGTCGATTGTAACAAACATTGCACTAAAAGTTCGATTGTAACACATCAAAGTAACGGATTGTAACAGATTTTAAAAAGTATGTAATAATATGCAATAAAACAAAATAATTACCAAGCTAAAGTAGCGAACAAGTATTGACTATAAAACATCAAAGTACAGTTATACCAGCGAAGGTCCATCTCGATTGTAACAAAAATGACACTAATCGTCTTCAAATTTTATGTGACGTGAATATATGCTTATAAAATCTGGATTTGATCTTGAGATGGCTGAACAGAGATAAACTTTGGCTAAACGAAATAAGAGTATCTAATGTTATTTGTTTCAAATGACCCAAATCAGTTTCCATTGTAACAGGCTATAAAAAATTAAATAGTTTGCAATAATAATCAAGAAAACATAAAATATATTATCAGATCATAAGATTGATGTCGATTGTAACAAAAATTACTCTAATAGTCTTGAACTTTTTTAAAATATTTTTTTTGTAAATTTTTTCAGACATCTGTATATACTCCTCAAATCGAGATTTGAACTTGAATTAGCGCTAAATGAAAAAAGAACTTTTTCTAAAAAATAAATTTATCTAGTGTTGTTATTTGTTACAAATAACCCAAGTCCAGTGTAAAAAAAATTGCATTAAAAGTTCGATTGTAACACATCACAGAGACTGATTATAATATAACAAAACATAAAAAATTGCCAATCTAAAATAGCAAATATCAGTGTCGATTGTAACAAAAAGGACACTTACCGTCTTATGTTTTTGAAGTAGTTTATTGCAAATTTTATCAGTTCTAACAATATGTTTACCAAATCTTAGCTAAATGAAAAACTTATAAGAATAAATTTATCTAGTGTTGTTTTTTGATACAAATGACCCAAGACAGGTAATGATTATAAAACATCAAAGTCCAATGATATCAGCGAAGGTCCAACAACAATAACAAAAATGACACTAATCGTCTTGAAGTTTTTCTGAAGTATTTTCTTGCAAATTGTATTTGACGTGAGTATATGCTTATGAAATCTAGATTTGGTCTTGAGTTAGCTGAATAGAGATAAACTTTGCATAAAAAAAATAAAAGTATCTAGTGTTATTATTTGTTGCAAATGACCCTATTTAGTTTCGATTGTAACACAGTAAGATACAGTTTTAACAGGCTATAAAAAGTAAAATAGTATGCAATAATAAACAACATAATATAAAATATATTATCAGATCATAAGATTGATGTCGATTGTAACAAAAATTACTCTAATCGTCTGGAAGTTTTTGAGGAATTTTTTTTGTAAATTTTATCAGACATCTGTATTTATACTTTTGAAATCAAGATTTGAACTTGAATTAGCCTGAAATAACCTTTTCTAAAAAATAAATTTATCTAGTGTGATTTGTTACAAATAACCTAAATCCAGTATTGATTGTAACAAATATTGCACTGAAAGTTTGATTGTAACACATCAAAATAACCGATACAGTTATATCAGCGAAGGTCCATCCCGATTGTAACAAAAGTTACACTAATCGTCTTTAATTGTGTTTATGAATAAAATAGCAGTGTTCCTAAAGAATTAATGTTAGTACTTAAGAACAACCCGTTTCAATCTGTGACTGTCTCCCCTAAGTTACTATTATAAAACAGCTTCTAGGCAAATTTAGTGAAAACTATATTTTTATAAAATTTCTATCAGGTACTACGTGGAGAACATCATACCGGCTAGTACTGCAGACAGATGCGGCGCATTAAACATAGGCGATCAACTCCTGGCCATAGACGACTTAATGCTGGAATCGTGGTCGGGCAGTCCGCAGGACGCCGAAAGACTCTTGAGAAGGGCCACCAAGCTGCAGATTTTACCGGTTCATGCGCATCGCAGAACGACGTCTAGGAACAATTACGGTTAGTATCATTTCACTGTTTATAGAAACTAAAAAAGAAAAGTTTTTTGTTTGTAACACGTCGTCATAGGGTATGAGGGCTACTTGATCAATAGCACAAGCATAATTTGTGAGCGACGAAACAAATGTGATCTTATTTGCTGACTTGGACACACCTTCGAATATTTTTACTAAGAGGGACTATTTCCTAAGCGCACACACAGCAACCTTTCACGCATGTGTTCTTTATTTTATTGCATTTTTTCTCAGTAGGGAGACTTTCATTTTATTTTCGCCATATTCAGATAAATCTCCCTATATACTGAAAGTAAAAAATGCTCCTCTTTACAAGCAGCTTTCCTTTTTGATGAATCGTCTTGATATTATCCTACATTCTTGACATCTTGTCATAATAAGAAGACTTAGATGTATTATTCCTTTATACAAAACTACAATTTGTTTTTAAATTAAATTCCGCCACTATAAATTCATGCGGGTCTGGAAAAAACTAAACATTATTCACAAAAACAATAATTTATGGCCCCTTGACATTCTGACAGGTCCATTGTGATGCTCGGCGTGAGATGACGCATAGCCGTCTTAGATGAAGTCAAATAAAATAAAATAAAGCGGCGAATACGGCACGCACTTTGTCACGGGCTAAGAAGCTACAAAGTTATTTGAATTTTATAAAACACTTACACACCCCAAGGAAATTACTATTTTTATACATTATGTATGTCCGGAGTTTCGAAGTTCTCCCTGTCATTACTTTTCTTTCGGCGGTGCCTCGGAAGGAGGAGAAAATAAATTTTGTAAACTTCTAACTCGCTTCTATAAAAAATATTTCTTTTCCATGACAGAGAACGGGTTTATATCCTTTGACACATCTGTGAATAAACAAAATGTACCAATTCTGCCATAATTTGGAATGCATCATATATTTTTTGATACTTTACAATTTTGTTGTAAATAGGAATTTTTCCGAAACTTTTAATTCCGTATAACTTTTCCTAGTGACACCTTTCGAAAGACCAAAAACAAGGGAAGTTTACTTTTATATTTTCATATTTTTTAATCTTACACGAGATGTTAGTTTTCTGCATGCCCCCCAAGAAGCAAAACTTTTCATTCAGTGTTATTTTTGTCGTAAAATGTAAAATGTTAAATAAAAAAGTTTTTCACACTTTTATTCACTCTAATCGAAGACATACTGTATATTAGACTTAATAGTCACCTCCAATGTAGATGTTTGTTTTAACACTGAAGTAAATAGGATGGATGGTTAGTCACAACTAGTTTGAATATTAAGAAAACTCGTCTGCCCATGGTACTATAAAGATTATTCTAGATTTGATTATGTATTGTTCTTGTGTTCTATACCCAGGATTCTTTACGGCGCGGTGGTATGGTGGCAGAAAACACAACAGACCACAGCGAAGGAAAAACTGAATAGAATTCAGAGATTGGCCTGTTTAGGTATAACGGGGGCGATGGCATCGACCCCGACAGCTGCACTAGAAGTCATGCTAAATCTGCCACCGCTGCATATAGTGGTGGAGAGAGAAGCNGTCCGGAGTTTCGAAGTTCTCCCTGTCATTACTTTTCTTTCGGCGGTGCCTCGGAAGGAGGAGAAAATAAATTTTGTGAACTTCTAACTCGCTTCTATAAAAAATATTTCTTTTCCATGACAGAGAACGGGTTTATATCCTTTGACACATCTGTGAATAAACAAAATGTACCAATTCTGCCATAATTTGGAATGCATCATATATTTTTTGATACTTTACAATTTTGTTGTAAATAGGAATTTTTCCGAAACTTTTAATTCCGTATAACTTTTCCTAGTGACACCTTTCGAAAGACCAAAAACAAGGGAAGTTTACTTTTATATTTTCATATTTTTTAATCTTACACGAGATGTTAGTTTTCTGCATGCCCCCCAAGAAGCAAAACTTTTCATTCAGTGTTATTTTTGTCGTAAAATGTAAAATGTTAAATAAAAAAGTTTTTCACACTTTTATTCACTCTAATCGAAGACATACTGTATATTAGACTTAATAGTCACCTCCAATGTAGATGTTTGTTTTAACACTGAAGTAAATAGGATGGATGGTTAGTCACAACTAGTTTGAATATTAAGAAAACTCGTCTGCCCATGGTGTATTTATTATAGAGATTATTCTAGATTTGATTATGTATTGTTTTTGTGTTCTATACCATTTATGATCTGAATAATGTTGACGCAATTGTTTATTTTTTTAGCAGTAGTATTAGTGAAGTTTTTGATATTCATGCTCCTACCACTGCTAGATTCACCAAAATACCTGCCCCTTAAAGGAACGTCATTGGAGATAGCCCAAATTTTACTATTATTTTGAATGACCATACTATTGTTCCAACTGATAACTGCAAAAACTTGGGTTGTAGTCCAGGCGATATCTGTTTTAAAAAGGGTATACTTGGGTAAAACGCATATGATCGGAGATTTCTACTTTAACGGTTTCTAAATAACATCAGAAATGATAATTTTTCTATGCAAATAAAAATAAACGTGGGCTTAATTGTTATTGCAAAAAAAAAGTATAAAAAATAGCAAAAATAAAACATTTTTTTCTTACTATTCATTTTAGACAAAAATGGAAGAGGAAAAAAGTTTTCTAATTAAATTTTGATCAAGATATAGTTGCAATTCGAAAAGATAATTATTGTTGTTGCAAAAATTGGAAAAATCACTTAAAAAATTGCAAAAAATGCTAGTTTATTTGTCAATTTTTTTTCAGAAACTTGAATAATACCTAGGATCTTCATATTTTCCCAATTAAACTTCTTAGTGCATAGAATCATCACACCACATTTCATCCAATGCGGTTTGATAGTTTTTACATAATACCTAATTGTTTAATTTTTTTTTAATTAAAAAACTTTCAAAATCAAATTTCTGAAAATCTAAAGCCTTTGAATACTTCAAAATTTCACAACAAAAAAAAGCTCTCAAGCTTTAAAATGGTTTTGGAAAAATTCAAATCGGACGATTAGGTGAGCCGTGGTGATTCTTTAAACATTTTCGCAATTTTCACGCTTCTAAACAATTCCAATAATTTAATGGTTTTTCAACTTTTTTTTAATTTTAAAATATGATTTGAAAGTACTCGGAAAGACGAGTATTTAAAAAAAAAACTAATCATCCGACCATT